CTCCTGGAGGAGCTGGCCAGCACTCCCCCCAGGAAGAGCGCCAGGCTGCTGTCCCACGTGCACGGCGAGAGCTTGATCCCCAGGAAATTCAGGGAGGTGGCCACGGCTTCCCCTACCTCAAGGCAGAGATTGAAGCAGTTCTACTCCATCCGCCGGCAGCCCCTGATGACGCCCGGGGTGACGGGGCTGAGGAACCTGGGCAACACTTGCTACATGAACTCCATCCTGCAGGTGCTCAGCCACCTCCAGAAGTTCAGAGAATGTTTCTTGACTCTTGATCTCTGTGAAACAGAAGAACTTTTAGCTAAAACTGTGAACGGGAGGGCCAGGATGCCAGGCAGGCTGGCAAACGGAGCCGCTGCCAGCGAGCCGGGGAAGCCTGACAAGGTTCAGAGCTCCCCGGGCTCCATGAACGGCGGCTCCTCCATCAGCCGCAGCTTGGAGCTGATCCAGCCCAAGGAGCCCAGCTCCAAGCACATCTCCCTGTGCCACGAGCTGCACACGCTGTTCAGGGTGATGTGGTCTGGCAAGTGGGCCCTGGTGTCGCCCTTCGCCATGCTGCACTCCGTGTGGAGCCTGATCCCCGCCTTCCGCGGCTACGACCAGCAGGACGCGCAGGAGTTCCTGTGCGAGCTCCTGGACAAGGTGCAGCAGGAGCTCGAGTCCGAGGGCAGCAGGCGCAGGATCCTCATCCCCTTCTCGCAGAGGAAGCTCACCAAGCAGGTCCTCAAGGTGGTCAACACCATCTTCCACGGGCAGCTGCTCAGCCAGGTATGGAATTGCTTTTGCACTTGGAGCTGTGCACACCAAGGAGCTCTGCACGTTGAGGATCCCATGTAGGAGTCGAGTTCCCNCCTTTTGGCCACCTTCCAGTTGGGATATCCCATAACTCTACAAGGACATTTCAAATCCACATTGCAGCTCTAAAACCCTTTCCCTTGTGGTTTTTGCCCCCAAGATTGGAGCAGCGACTCCTCCTGTGCAACGTGGGTGGATGCAAATGTGGGGAATTTGGGGTGAGCTGTGAGGGCCAAGAGTCAGATTTGATGATGCTAACCCTTCCAATGACCCTACAAGGAAATCTCAAATCCATGTTACAGCTCTAAAACCCTTTTCCTTGTGGTTTTTTGCCCCCAAGTTTGGATCAGTAGCACGTGCTGTGCGAGATAGATAGATAGACAGATAGATAGATAAATAGATAGATAGATAGACAGATAGATAAATAGATAGATAGATAGATAAATAGATAGATAGATAGATAGATAGATAGATAGATAGATAGATAGATAGATAGATAGATAGATAGATAGATGCAAATGTGGGGAATTTGGGGTGAGCTGTGAGGGCCAAGAATCAGATTTGATGATGCTAACCCTTCCAGTGACCCTACAAGGAGATCTCAAATCCATGTCACAGCTCTAAAACCCTTTCCCTCGTGGTTTTTTGCCCCCCAAGGTCGGAGCAGCGACTCCTGCTGTGAGACATGGATCGATGCAAACATGTGGGGAATTTGGAATATTGTGTGCAGGGCTAGGAGCCAGATTTGATGATGCTAACCCTTCCAATGACCCTACAAGGAGATTTCCAATGCATGTCACAGCTCTAAAACCCTTTTCCTTGTGTTTTATGCCCCCGAAGGTCGGAGCAGCGACTCCTCCTGTGAGACATGGATAGATGCAAACATGGGAAATTTGAGGTGTGCTGTGCAGGACTAGGAGCCAGATTTGATGATGCTAACCCTTCCAATGACCCTATAAAAAGACCTCAAATCCATGTCACAGCTCTAAAACCCTTTCCCATGTGGTTTTTTGCCCCCAAGGTCGGATCAGCAGCACGTCCTGTGCAAGATAGATAGTTAGATAGACAGATAGATAGATAGATGATAGATAGATGCAAATGTGGGGGATTTGGGGTGAGCTGTGAGGGCCAAGAGTCAGATTTGATGATCCCAACCCTTCCAATGACCCTATAAAAAGACCTCAAATCCATGTTACACCTCTAAAACCCTTTCCCTTGTGTTTTATCCCCCCAAGGTCGGAGCAGCAACTCCTGCTGTGAGACATGGATCGATGCAAACATGTGGGGCGGCTACGACTCGCCCAGGACCACTCGATCCTGAACCCTCAGAAGTGGCAGTGCANACAAGGACATTTCAAATCCACATTGCAGCTCTAAAACCCTTTCCCTTGTGGTTTTTTGCCCCCATGGTTGGAGCAGTGATGCCTCCTGTGGATAGATACAAATGTGGGGAATTTGGGGTGAGCTGTGAGGGCCAAGAATCAGATTTGATGATCCTAACCCTTCCAATGACCCATCAACAAGATCTCAAATCCATATCCCAGCTCTTTTCCTTGTGTTTTTTCCCCCAAGGTCGGAGCAGCGACTCCTCCTGTGCAACATGGGTGGATGCAAATGTGGGGAATTTGGGATGTCCTGTGCAGGGCTAGGAGTCAGATTTTATGATCTTAACCCTAACCCTATCCCCTCCCTTCCAATGACCCTAGAAGGAGATTTCCAATGCATGTCACAGCTCTAAAACCCTTTCCCTTGTGTTTTATGCCCCCAAGGTTGGATCAGTAGCACATCCTGTACAAGACAGACAGATAGATAGATAGATAGATAGATAGATAGATAGATAGATAGACAGATAGATAGATGCAAATGTGGGGAATTTGAGATGTCCTGTGCAGGGCCAGGAGCCAGATTTGATGATGCTAACCCTTCCAATGATCCTACAAGGAGATCTCAAATCCATGTTACAGCTCTAAAACCCTTTTCCTTGTGTTTTATCCCCCCGAGGTCGGAGCAGCAACTCCTCCTGTGAGACATAGGTAGATGGAAATGTGGGGAATTTGGGATGTCCTGTGCAGGGCCAGGAGTCACATTTGATGATCTTAACCCTAACCCTATCCTGTCCCTTCCAATGACCCTAGAAGGAGATTTCCAATGCATGTCACAGCTCTAAAACCCTTTTCCTTGTTGTTTTATCCCCCCAAGGTTGGAGCAGCGACTCCTGCTGTGAGACATGGATCGATGCAAACATGTGGGGCGGCTACGACTCGCCCAGGACCACTCGATCCTGAACCCTCAGAAGTGGCAGTGCNTTTTACCCCTCTCTCTCTCTCTCCAGGGCTTTGAAGCTGCCTGGCAGCGAGGAATTCCCAAAAATTGAATTCTGCAGGATCGTGGGAGGAGGATGGGGCTGCAACACAGACGGGACACGGCGGGGCCGAGGAGAGGATGTGTGAGCTGCACCCCGTGAGTGCTGAGCCCCAGAGCCTTGAGGGGCTGGGAGAGGAGCCACAATTCACTGGGGAGCTTCTGTCAAACCAATGCCTTCAGATTTTAGCTTTTCATACATTTATAATCCTGTAATTCTTTAGTGTATAACTCTAAACTCCATGGTGGAGGAGAGGATGTGTGAGCTGCACCCCGTGCGTGCTGAGCCCTCAGAGCCCTGGAGGGATGGGGAAAAGGAGCCACAATTCACTGGGATCTTCTGTCAAACCAATCTTTTATCAAAATTTAGGATTTCAGCTTGTCATACATTTATAATCCTGTAATTCTTCAGTGTATAGCTCTAAACTCTGTGGTGGAGGAGAGGATGTGTGAGCTGCACCCAGTGAGTGCTGAGCTCTCCTTCTGCCCCAGAGCCTTGAGGGGCTGGGAGAGGATCCACAATTCACTGGGAATCTTCTGTCAAACCAATCTTTTATCAAAATTTAGGATTTCAGCGTTTCATACATTTATAATCCTGTAATTCTTCAGTGTATAGCTCTAAACTCCATGGTGGAGGAGAGGATGTGNTTTTAGGGTTTGAATATCTTTAGTCCTGAGGTTTTAGGCTTTGAATGTGTTTAGTGCTGAGGTTTTAGGCAAAGGCTCTGCATGTTGAGGATCCCATTTAGGAGTCGAGTTCCCAATTCCGGAGGAAAAAATCCCTTGAATTGCCACCATTTCCCACCCTTGGAAATGCACAAATTCCATTTCCCACCCTTGGAAATGCACAAATTCCATTTCCATCCTTGGACATGCACAAATTTAACGCATTTAGCAGAAATTCATCTCAGTTGTGCCACTCCTGGATGAGACCTGTACAGGCACAGAAGTGCTGAGCCCCTGGTTTTAGGCTTTGAATGTGTTTAGTCCTGAGGCTTTAGGCAAAGGCTCTGCACGTTGAGGATCCCATTCAGGAGTCGAGTTCCCAATTCCTGAGGAAAAAAATCCCTTGAATTGCCACCATTTCCCACCCTTGGAAATGCACAAATTCCATTTCCATCCTTGGAAATGCACAAATTCCATTCCCACCCTTGGAAACGCACAAATTTAGCACATTTAGCACAAATTCATCTCAGTTGTGCCACTTCTGGATGAGACCTGTACAGGCACAGTCCTGAGCCCCTGGTTTTAGGGTTTGAATGTCTTTAGTCCTGAGGTTTTAGGCAAAGGCTCTACATGCTGAGAATCCCATTTAGGAGTCTCTTAGGACTCTTAGGATTTCCCAATTCATGAGGAACAAAATCCCTTGAATTGCCACCATTTCCCACCCTTGGAAATGCACAAATTCCATTTCCCACCCTTGGAAATGCACAAATTCCATTTCTGTCCTTGGACATGCACAAATTTAATGCATTTAGCAGAAATTCATTTCAGTTGTGCCACTTCTGGATGAAACATGCACAAGCACAGAAGTCCTGAGCCCCTGGTTTTAGGCTTTGAATGTGTTTAGTCCTGAGGTTTTAGGCAAAGGCTCTGCATATTGAGGATCCCATTTAGGAGTCTCTTAGGAATTCCCAATTCCTGAGGAACAAAATCCCTTGAATTGCCACCATTTCCATCCTTGTCACATTTAGCACAAATTCACTTCAGTTGTGCCACTTCTGGATGGGACCTGTACAGACACAGAAGTCCTGAGCCCCTGGTTTTAGGGTTTGAATGTCTTTAGTCCTGAGGTTTTAGGCTTTGAATGTGTTTTTAAGGTACCTTTGCATTTTTTTATGCTCCTTTTCTTTGTGGTTTTTTGCCTCCTAAAGTTGGAGCAGCAACTCCTCCTGTGAGCCATGGGTGGATGTAAATCTGGGGAATTTGGGATATCCTGTGCAGGACTGGGATTCAGATTTGATGATCCTAACCCTTCCAATGACCCTACAAGGAGATTTCAAATCCATGTTACATCACTAAAATCCTTTTCCTTGTGGTTTTTTTCCCCCCAAAGGTGGAGCAGTGAGACAAGGATGGATGTAAATCTGGGGAATTTGGTGTGTCCTGTGCAGGACTAGGAGCCAGATTTGAAGATCCCAACCCCTCCAATGACCCTACAAATTTCAAATCCATGTTAAAGCACTGAAACCCTTTTCCTTGTGGTTTTTACCCCCCAAGGTTGGAGCAGCAACTCCTCCTGTGAGCCATGGGTGGATGCAATCTGGGGGATTTGGGGTGTCCTGTGCATGGCCAGGAGTCAAATTTGATTATCCCAACTCTTCCAATGACCCTACAAGGAGATTTCAAATCCATGTCACAGCACTAAAACCCTTTTCCTTACCCTCAAAGTTGGAGCAGCAGCTCCTCCTGTGAGCCATGGGTGGATGCAATGTGGGGAATTTGGGGTGTCCTATGCATGGCCAGGAGCCAGATTTGAAGATCCCAACCCCTCCAATGACCCTACAAATTTCAAATCTATGTTACATCACTAAAACCCTTTTCCTCGTGGTTTTTGCCTCCCAAGGTTGGAGCAGCAACTCCTCCTGTGAGCCATGGGTGGATGCAATGTGGGGGATTTGGGGTGTCCTGTGCATGGCCAGGAGTCAAATTTGATTATCCCAACTCTTCCAATGACCCTACAAGGAGATTTCAAATCCATGTTACATCACTAAAACCCTTTTCCTCGTGGTTTTTACCCCCCAAGGTTGGAGCAGCAGCTCCTCCTGTGAGCCATGGGTGGATGCAGTGTGGGGAATTTGGGGTGTCCTGTGCATGTCCAGATTTGATGACCCTTTTGTCCTTCCAGCTGATGAAAACCCCAAATCCCAAAGCTGTGAGCATTCCCTGCATTTCACTTCCACCCCGCAGCCAGCTGTGTGTCCCTGTCTGTTGGGAATTTAGCTGCTAAGGAATGGAAAAGTACAAAACCATGGCTCATTCCAAGTCCTGCACCTGCACAGACAGCAGTGACCTTGGTGGTATAATAACAAACAGTGAAAGAGCCATGAGAAAAGAGAGTGTAACCCCTCAGGTATGAAGATGAGTTAATGCTAGAGTTTAACCAATAGATTGATTGGCTTACAGAATATTCAGAATATTATTTGCTGTATAAGTGTCTGATGCTCTCTTCAATAAACGGAATTTGCTCATCACTCATATCGAGTGTCCAAGTCTCCCCTCACCGACAAATGGCGTGACCCCTGCCAAAGGCCAGCATTTTATTTCTCTCTAACACCCGTGTCCCTGTCCCAGGTCACCTGCAGGACGTGCAACTACAAATCCAACACGGTGGAGCCCTTCTGGGACCTGTCCCTGGAGTTCCCCGAGCGCTACCACGCCCTGGCCAGGGGGCTGCTGCCCGAG